TATATTATTAAGTTATATCCCAGTCTTAACCATAATTTAAATTTCGATATCATCAAAAAAAAAATAATAATAATAATAATAATTTTCAGCTAACATAAAATATAAATTTTATATAAAAAAAAAATTAAGAAAAAAAAAAATATTTATAATTGCCTTTCATAAATTCCAACTATAAAAAAAAAAAAAAAACATTTAAAAAAAATTTATCATTTCTTCTCACTCTCTCTTTTTGTCAAAAAAAAAAAGTGCGTTTGAAAAAAAAACCGCCAGGGGCCGCTTTGCGAGCAGCACATTAAAAAAAAAAATGCCGCCTTAAAAAAAAACTCGTATGTGTCGCATCGCATCTATAAGGACAAAAAAAAAAACGAGGCTCTAAAAAAAATGCTGCCCATGCACATACAGCTGAAGGTGCGCACGCGGGCCACCAATGGACTGATCATGCTGGCCGCCGCTCAGGGCACCAAGGGCGGCCACAAAAAAAAAATATTCCTGCAAAAAAAAATCATGCAGTTCCAGTTCTCGTGCGGACTGCAAACAAAAAAAATGAGCGAGCTAAAAAAAACCGTGAACACGGGCCACGAAATTACCATTCGAGCTGAGTAAGTGAAATGCCCGGCCACGGAATGCAATTATGTGGTTCACAGAGAACTGGGCCCCAGCCCAACCCATGGATCAAAAAAAAGGCAGGCTGTCGGGCTGGCAACATTGATAGAAGGGAGGTTGGCACGTTAATTAACTTTTTAAATTGCGCCTGACACGAGTGTCGAGTGTCGACTGACACGAGTGTCGAGTGTCGAGTGCCCAGGGGCAACTGCTGCCGGGGTTCAGCATGTGGGTCACTGTCAATGCTGCAGGAAACGGCAGCAGGATGCCGCCATGGAGCGCAGGCCATTAAAGTTGCCTTATGTCGATTTCCATGCCGTTTGGCCACCACAAATTATAATGCTTCAAGTGTAGAATAAATTGCGCTAGTGCCGCTTCGTATTTTTTTCCCCCTTTTTTTTTTGTATTTTTTCGGCAATATCCCAGCCACAGCTCCTGCTCCATTCCAACGATCCTTGGCTTCGCATTCATGCGTAATTAGTTGGCGTAGTTGGTTTTTGGCTCAAATTTAATTTGCCGCATTTTCTGCGCTCGCTCGCCAAACGGAAGCGGAAGTTGAATGGCTGCAGCGAACCCCAGAGACAGAGACTGGGGAGCAGCGTAACTTTGCGCCAAAGAGAAAGTAAAGCGTAGCTCTTGCGTAATTAATCGTTTAACTAACATTTCCCGAAACTCTGCGCACCACTTTCAAATGCGAAATGTAATGGCGCAAAGGACAATTGCGATAACAAAGGCAATGCCAAAGAACTTAGACAGCAGCTGGCCCAGCCCGGCCAGCAATGGCCCCTCAAAAACCTCTTCAGATAAATTATGCTGTGGCTAAATCAGAAATAAGCTGCACAAATATGTTAAGCACAAGTCCACTTAGCGCAATGAGATCCACAAAAAGAGCATTTCATGTGTGCTAATATATTGCACAGAAATCTCTTCAAGAGATAAAATTAGCAAAAGGCAGAAATGCTTGCCAAATTGTGAAAGACAGTATATTAGTTAGCATATGCATTTATCTATCTACATATTGAGCGGGACAACCGTGCGTATAATTATAAAGTATGGCTAATCAGTTTCTATAACAGCTCATAGTTAAAAATCTCAACCAATTGGCTTTCCCTATAGATTAGTCAGATATGATATTCATATGTGGTTAAATTATATCTATTCTACTATAGAGATCACTGTCCACAGTCGGAACCTTAATTAAATACAGTCGAGTCTCAATTATTTGTACCCCGATAAATCGAAAAAAAAAAAAAAAAAAAAAAAATGCAATCCCCTTCAAAGAAATTCGTTCTCAATAATTCTCGATAACTTCAATTTCTGTATAAATCGAATATAATTGGTCTCCTTGTCATTACGAATTATCGGGATATAATATGCTACATATTGAAACATATTTCCAGGGAAGGTACAGAATAACAACCTTGCTGCTAGTTACAAATTTGAAAGCCCTTCAACACATTTCATTTCAATAATAGTTCAAAATACAGAGTGCAAAAAATTACTTAAATAATTTCGCAATGATAACCGCTATTCAGCCCAAACCGCATAATATTGCAGCAATTGCTTGATTGTAAGCGCTTTTAACTAATTTATCGTTGTGCTGCTACTTATGCTGGCCGCAGAAACCGAACATGTGATCATTTACATTTAACTGGCAATTCGCAAATTTACAATTCAGTCGAGTGCAATTACTTAGGACGAGGGGAGTAGGGGCCAGTGGGGCCCCTCGACGGGGTTCGATAGGGTCAGCCATATGGAAAATGACCAAGTAATCATTTTACAAAATCAACAAGCAACAACGAATTCCCACAACGCCGCAACGACGAGTGGCATAAACAGCACATTAAGGAATAAATATATCAGGCAAATAGGTCGCTCGGCTGGCTTTGCCGTCAGACCTGAGAAAGTGAAAGAGAAAGCAAATAAGATGAATGTAGTCAGGAGTTGCTGACTGCTCAATACACGCTCAGCATTTACAGTGGAGATTAAACGGAATTTTTATGGAAGAGCTCGACCTAAATCCGATTCAAATAGAATTCATACGACTCTTCCACTTCATAAATCAAGCATAAATGCAAACTAATATACTCCTTCTGCTGAAGTCTATAAAAAATCAGCACACACTCAGCAGACTGGACTGGCCTATATAAGTAATTTACTGCTTAGAGCGAGACGGCTATAGTAATGGGCATTTGATATCTCTTTCTTGTTTTTATGACTATCGAATCGACCACAAATTTACTTTTTAGCACTTGGTCCCAGCTCGGGGCATACTCATGTGGTAGAAAACTGGGTCCGCCACAGGATTTACGAGCAACAAATTTATGTTTGTTGCCTATTTTTATTTGACTTGCGTGCTTAATGGCCATGCCACCAGGACACTTCATGTTCATGGCTCGACTACAACGCCTCCGACTGCTGTTCTAGCTCCGACTCCTGCTGCTGCTCCCAGCTCATTTGCCCAGAAGCGATTTAGCGTCTCCCAGTCGACGCGACAATGGCAATGAACATAGACCTTCCAATGAACTAGTTCGTGACACACTCACACACACACACACACACCCACACAGAGACACAATTATGATTGTCCTGCGGCGAAAGTGCTGCTTGAACTTTTCCCTCATTGTTGCCTTTCGCAAAATTTTCATTGAGCCGAGTCGCGCCTAATGAGCCTAATGCTCCACGCAATTGACATTTTACTTAAGGATTTCTCAAGAAGTCCATGTAATTAGAAAGCAATAACAATTACCGCACAATTATGAAGCTTTCGCTTAATCTCGGCTAAAGCTTGAGCCGTTCCGCACTTCCGAGTTTTTCGCCATAACAAAATTAAGTGCATTAAGCATTAAAGGCCGCAACTTTGCCGCCAACTTAAATTCGAGTAGGAACAAATTAAAACGAAAATCAAACAAACTTTTTGCTGCTTAATCAATCGCAGCTAATTGCTCGATATATATTATATATAGTGAAAAATCTCTAAAATTGTTGTCCTTGAGTCGAGTTGATTCATTATTTTCTGCCACTGACTGTGGCTAAAAGCCAATTTCATGTGCTTGAATCGAATTGCTGGGAAATTTGTGTTTTTAAAACAGTATTAGCAAATTATACGCTTAACAGCCAACGGCTGCTAACGGCTTTAAATGTTTGATAATGTCTTTTGAAGAGTCTTTATGTTTATTGATTCTGAGCGCCATATTTCTGGGTGCTTAAATGCTAACGAAATATTTTCAAATAAGCTGATTAGCTTATTGATTGAATTTTTTTAAGGATATTGTATGATTAAATATCTTAATTAAAAAAAGAGTAGCTCAAGCATTTAATTTTAATTTTAATTTATTTTATTTTATTTTGCTTTTTATT